CTTTACCTTTTAACCCTTCTCTCACTTTTCTGCTTTGTTATCTTCTTTGTTGTTCATTCCCATGTCCATTACATCTGAAATAAGCCAAAAGCAAATTCTAATCAAATTTAATTTATATATCAAGTGGAGCATTAAGGCCAGCCATAATGCTCTGCTTGTGAAAGTAAATCTGTTGGGCATCACTTTGACACTCAGACAATAATTCTAAGTGTCACAATGTCGGACAGGACAAGGGGAAAAAAAACCCACATCAGATACAACTCATTTTATGGAGGAAAAGAATAGGGCTGTTGATGAGGTCTTTTTTGATGAATTATAGACAACTTTTTGTTTCTAAGGTCAGGTAGCTGTGGCAGCCATCTTGAACTGGGTTGACTCAGAAACTTGATCATTTGTAGATGTGCATACAAAGAATAAAACGTGTGAGCTGGAAAACCTGAAGAAAAAAAAAGTCCAACAAATCGTGTACCCAGCCATTCATAGATTGGACAAGTGCTTCCAGAGACTTGTAATTCTTTAAATTATTCGTGGTGTAAGCACTAACACACACCAGGTATGCTAAAATGACTGGGAATGTCAGTGGAGACAAATATTACTCTGGGGCTTTGCTCCTTTCTTTTTTTAAATTTTTCAAACGGGCAACATTTCCAATTTTACCTATTTTTTCCATGTACCGTTTTTTTGTCATCTGAGAGAAGTATGTCACGATATAGTCCACTTTGTTTTTAGCTGCTTTTCAGCATTATAGAATACAATATAATATAATATAATATAATATAATATAATATAATATAATATAATATAATATAATAGAATAGAATAGAATAGAATAGAATAGAATAGAATAGAAACAGCCTTTATTGTCCCACAGATGAGAAATTCAAGTGTAACAGCAGCAACAGCAAAAACAGACAAAAAGATAAAAATATTGCACACAAAATATCCTGATGTATGCTCAATAATCCAGGTAAAAAAATCTAATAAAGTTAAATCTGGTCCTCTGGACATTCAAAAAAACAAAACAAAACAAAAAAAATTTAGAAACATTTCGTCTTTCATCCGAAAGACTTCCTCAGTCTGAGGTGCTGTATTCAGCTCAGTCTTATAAATAGCACCTTCTCAGAGTGGATCAACCAGTTTGCTGCTGACAGAAAAAAACAACTGCTCACATGATCAAGGAGGACCATCAGCGTAACGATGGATCGTTAGCACCCTGATGGCTGTTTGCTATTCACGGGGGCTGAGTGATACTAGCAGTAACAGCCTTGTAAGAGGGAGACAGTTGAACACGGAGGCGTCCACCCCTGTTTAATGATGGACGGTTTCTTTTCACGAAGATGGCCTCCTTTACTCCTCTCTTAAACCATTGTTCAACTCGCTCAAGGATGTGAACATCTTCATCCCTGAAAGAGTGACCGCTGGCCTGGAGATGAGTGTAGACCACAGAGTCCTGGCCTGATGATGTTGATATTCTGTGATGGGCCATCCTTTTGGCCAGTGGCTGTTTAGGTTGTTTTCACACCTGATAGTCCGGTAGACTCGGTTCGGTTGGGGACCAATATTCATGACATTTTGTTTACATTTGAGCTAGTGCGTTTGCATTCACACTGCACTGTGCAGTCGAGCCAACCTGTTGCACCAAGAACTACTGCAAGAAACAACACAAAAACCTCTGAAGACACTTCTTCTTCTGGAAATAAAAACAAAAACGGAGTGGCATCAAGTTTTCGCAGTTTTAGGAGTTATATTTTGTCATTTTTCAAAAATGGACTCAGCATGAGCAGAAGATGAGGCAGAAGACCATGGAAAATGTTGTTTTTCACACAAGTCAGCTGACGGCTCCATATAAGGTAAGAGAAATGCATATTTGTTTGCCCTGCGCTGTACTCCACTTCTTGCTTGTGGAGAGGGGCCCGGTCTGTTTACAATCACAATGCACTCGAACCGCGCTGGAGGTCTCTTCTACCGGACCGAGACCTAGGTTTTAGCCCGGGCCAGAGTTCGCCTTTTTGTTCCGTGACAGAGTTCGATGGCGTATTCACACCTCCCCAAACGAACCGGACTTTATAGGAAAACGAGCTAGAGTTCGATTAAAGCAGACTAAACAGGGCTGGTGTGAATGCACCCTTAGTTTCCCCAATTTAAAAATGATCACAGCCCTCCTGACACTGAACAGCATACACAATATTTCTCTGTTTGTACCGGGGGACTGGATCTTTGGGATGAACCAATCTTTGCCATAATGTATTTTGGGGCTTAAAAGCCACTGGGACGTTATGTTTAGAAAATAAACGTCTCAGTTTCTCTGATACTCCCGCAACATATGGAATGACCACTGGTCTGGGTTCCTCCTTTTCACCTGATGGCTGACTGGAGTCCTGTTTGGGTTTCTTCTCCGCTTTCAGGAAGGCCCAGGTAGGTTATCCACATTGCTCTACAGCCTGTCTTGTGTGGGATTTCTCCTTTTGCCTGGCTCCTGAGTTAGTGGGGACGCTGTCTGCTCTGTGGTACAGACTCCTGATGACTCGTAACTTGTGCTCCAAAGGGTGATGGGGGTCAAACTGCAAACACTGGTCTGTGTGAATGGGTTTGCAGTACACCTCAGTTTGCAAATGTCCTCTATCAGAAACTGAGACCTCACAGTCCAAGAATGCCTACCTGCCATTGCTAGTATCACTCAGCCCCCTGTGAATAGCAAACAGACATCAGTGTGCAAATGATCCATCGTTAGGCTGATGGTCCTCCTTGATTAGGTGAGCAGCTGGTTTTGGCTGTCAGCAGAAAACTGGTTGATCCACTGTGAGAGGGTGCTATTTATAAGACTGAGCTGATTACAGCACCTCAGACTGAGGAAGTCTTTCGGATGAAAGACGAAACGTTTCTAGAATTTTTTATTTTTTGAATGTCCAGAGGACCAGATTTAACTTTTTTAGATATTCATAGTAGAGTGTTATTAAGCAAAGCAGAAGGAATATCAAGGGCATTGCATGTTTTTTCATCACAAGAGGTCAGCAAAGCTCTCTGCTCTGATCTGGATAAAATTCTTCAAGTTTCTGTGGAAAAATAATGCTCATAAAATAAAAAAATATATAGTTTCTCAAATTCTATAGCTGACGGAGGTTTGAATGTTTTGACATTTACTGTCTTTAATCAGATATTAAAAATTAACTGATTAAGAGATTTCTAAAAAAAAAAAATCCAAATTCTATGTGGAATATTTTCCCAAATCATCTGTTTAGCAAACTAGGGGGTGTTATTTTTTTCTTGCGTTGTCCTTTCTCAGTTGGAAAGCTTCCAGTCAAATTAGCTAAGTTTCATCAGCAGGTTCTGTTATGTTGGCCTCTTCTATACAAACACAACTACTCTCCTCATAAATGCATCATATAGAGCAATGCTTTTATACTACATAAAAACAAATCATTACATTTACATAATTGGGTTGATAAAAATATTAATCTAATAAACCAGTTACTCAACAGTAATGGTGAATGGTATGACAAACATGGAACAACTTTCCGCTCGTAAATTGAAGCCGTTCGACGCCACACGTGCTGCACACGTGAACCCCGTCTGTGGGCGTAACCAGCACCATAGACATACAGCTGTAGGGCAGCCCTATACAGCTCTGGGTGTAAACACGTAGTCCGTTTGTCACATGTCTGGTGTTTTACCTGCCTGCGTGCCGAAACCACGTGACACGTTACATCCAATACCAAAACTTGACACCGAAAGAAGAGTGATGTTTCAATTCATACAACGACCGACGCAGTTCGGTCGGTGCCATAAAAGAACCTCAGTTTTTTAACCCCTATTTTTATCCCTGATCTGGCCTTTTCTCTTGTTTTTTTTCCAAAAGGCAAGCGATCTCTTCCTCCTCCTCCGTTGATACCATGACAGAAATTGTGAGAAATTAAGGAATTTGTCACGAGCAAATTAAAATCATAGCTGTGGAAGGTTCTTGAGATTTCCTGGTGGGCTAGACTGATGCGTGGGCTGCAGGGCCTGTTTTTTTTTTAGAACTTTTTATTAACAACATATAAACACAGAACACTGCTGCGTTTTTTTTTTTTTGCGACCTGTCAATCAATCCAGTAGGCGTGTCAGCAAATGACCAATCGGCGACCTCAATTTGTCCCGAAGGTAAACGTCCCTTGTCTGTGGAGCTGACAGCAGCCGCTCAGGGTGGACACTCGAGTATGATGTCTCAACCCTCTGCGGACGGTGCTCACAGTTTCCCCGCGGCTGACAGGACACGCGAGTATATTGGAACCTTTACAGAAAAAGTTGGAAAGAACATTGTATTATCAAAATTGCAAATATTGCTCATTTTTAACAATTCAGCCTTTTCTTAAGATGAAATATATATAGTAAATCTAATTATAATCCAGGCAAAATACTATGTCCACAAGATAAAATGGAGTGAAAAAATACCCTCATTTAACATTTTTAAAGAAACTGACTTAAAAACCTATATTACCTCTGTGGAAAACCTTTATTTAAATAATCAGAAACTTGTAAAAACAATAACTATTTTTAAGAAATTTAACTTTATTTCATAAAGAGACCCCTTTCTTGTCTTTTTTACATTTATTTTTTGTTTTGTTGTAACAGACCCTTTTTTATATGAATTTGAATGTATTTTTGCGCATTTGTTAAGAAAATAGTGGTGTTTGTATAGATAATAAGGTACACATTATTTTATTTTACTCATTTATGTATAAAGTTATTTAACTCTTTTTCTTTTAACTTATTTAATTTACTTTGTAGATTGTAAGACCTTCACAACAATAAAAATAAATAAATTCAAAGCAGTCTGCTCTTGAGATAAATAGTTAACTTGTTATTTTTATATATGAATGTTTCTGTTCAGTGTCCTGAGATGTTCTGTTATGACTTGGTGCTAAATAAATAAACTGAATTGAATTGAATTGAAAATCAGAGCAACACCAAACTTCATCTAAACTCTTAAAAAATAATTTTCGTTTCATTGTGGGTCTTACCGGAACAATGAAGGAGTGCAGGCCATGGCAGACATGGTCTGGTGTGTAGAGCTGAGCAAACACCACAGCATGGGTGGCAGTCTTACCCAGGTTCCCCACCCAGAACTTAGCAGCCTCAAAGTCAGGAGAGTTGATTATGAACTCCTATAGCCGAGAAACAAGGACATAAAGAGGAAAAAAAGCATTGGTCCATTTTATAAATGCATTCCTAATACAGAGAGACACCGCCTTATGTCCAGAACTTAAATGACAAACTATGTTTTAATTTTTTTTATGACCTGACTAAAAATTGTTGGATTGTATACCTGTATTAATGAGCATGGACATTTTTGTTTTTTTCTGTTTTCACTGGTTTCTGTGTCATCTGTGATTGTTAGAGCTCGACTGATAAGGAAATTTTGGCTATCACTGATACCAATATTGGGAATAAGGGACGGCAACCACCGATAACTGATATTCAATAGTCCTTCATTTATCACGGGGGATCCGTGCCCTGAAGCCCCTCAATAAGTGGAAAAACCGTGAAGTAGGAATAGTAGTAGAAGTAGTAAGTAATAGTTTATTTTAGTATTTATATATACCATAATTGCCGTTCTATAAGCCGCTACTTTTGCCTCACACTTTGTACCCCACGGTTTATTTGCAGGAGCGGCTTATTTATGGGAGGCTTTGGCTGAATGGTTAGAGCAGTCGTCCTCCAATGCGAGAGTTGGGGGTTCGAATCCACCAGCAGTCACATGCCGAAGTGTCCCTGGGAAAGACACTGAACATAGCCTCTGATGTGTGTCCCATCCGGGTATGAATGTGAGCTAAAGCACTGATCAGTCTCATTAGAATGATTTGTTCAGTTAGCTTTGTAGAGATGTAGAGTGCTGTATGAATGGGTAAATGAGGGCACAGATTGTAGTGTAAAGCCCTTTGAGTATCTTGAAATAAGATAGAAAGGCACTATATAAGTACAGTCCATTTACTATTTACCATTTATGTATTTTTTTCATAAACTTATATTTTTATTTTTTATTTTGAAGGACTTCCTGCCATCTCTCAGTAGCTTCCTGCCACTGACTAATACAAACCGGATTCCAAAAAAGTTGGGACACTAAACAAATTGTAAATAAAAACTGAATGCAATGATGTGGAGATGGCAAATGTCAATATTTTATTCGTAATATAACATAGATGACAGATCAAAAGTTTAATCTGAGTAAATGTAACATTTTAAAGGAAAAATATGTTGATTCAAAATTTCACAGTGTCAACAAACCCAAAAAAAGTTGGGACAAGTGGCTGGAAAAAGGAAATTGAGCATATAACGAACAGCTGGAAGACCAATTAACACTAATTAGGTCAATTGACAACATGATTGGGTATAAAAAGGGCTTCTCAGAGTGTCAGTGTCTCTCAGAAGCCAAGATGGTAAGAGGATCACCGATTCCACCATTGTTGCGCAGACAGATAGTGCAGCAATACCAGAATGTTGTTAGCCAGCGTAAAAGACCAAAGACTTTTAAGTTATCATCATCAACCGTGCATAACATCATCAAAAGATTCAGAGAATCTGGAACAATCGCTGTGCGTACGGTTCAAGGCCGTAAACTCTACTGGATGTTCATGATCTCCGGGCCCTTAAACGTCACTGCACCTCAAACAGGAATGCCACTGTCAAGGAAATAACAGAATGGGCTCAGGAATACTTCCAGAAAGCATTGTCAGTGAACACAATCCACCGTGCCATCCGCCGTTGCCAGCTGAAACTCTACAGTGCAAAGAAGAAGCCATTTCTAAGCAAGCTCCACAAGCTCAGACGTTTGCACTGGGCCAGGGGTCATTTAAAATGGAGTGTGGCAAAATGGAAGACTGTTCTGTGGTCAGATGAGTCACGATTTGAAGTTCTTCATGGAACACTGGGACGCCATGTCATCCGGACCAGAGAGGACAAGGACAGCCCAAGTTGTTATCAACGCTCCGTTCAGAAGCCTGCATCACTGATGGTATGGGGTTGCATGAGCGCTTGTGGCATGGGCAGCTTGCATGACTGGAAAGGCACCATTAATGCAGAGAACTATGTTCAGGTTCTAGAACAACATATGCTCCCATCTAGACGTCATCTCTTTCAGGGAAGACCCTGCATTTTTCAACACGATAATGCCAGACCACATTCTACAGATATCACAACATCATGGCTATGTAGGAGAAGGATCCGGGTACTGAAATGGCCAGCCTGCAGTCCAGATCTTTCACCTATAGAGAACATTTGGCACATCATAAAGAGGAAGGTGCGACAAAGAAGGCCCAAGACGATTGAACAGTTTGAGGCCTGTATTAGACATGAATGGGAGAGCATTCCTATCTCTAAACTTGAGAAACTGGTCTCCTCTGTCCCCAGACGTCTGTTGAGTGTTGTAAGAAGAAGGGGGTTGCCACACAGTGGTAAAAATGGATTTGTCCCAACTTTTTTGGGATTTCTTAACGCCATAAAATTTGGAAACAACAGATTTTTCCCTTAAAATGATACATTCTCTCAGTTTAAACTTTTGATCTGTGATTTGTATTCTATTCTGAATAAAATATTAGATGTTGGCACCTCCACATCATTGCATTCAGTTTTTATTCACAATTTGTTTAGTGTCCCAACTTTTTTGGAATTCGGTTTGTATTTTCCTTTGACAGAACTGGGCACTCATGGCTCCCAGCACCCCACCCCTCATGGGGGAAGGCGTTTGTGACACAGAGAGAATGCCCTCAGGTAATCAGATGTACAAGGTCTTTTGCTCATGGTTTCAAATACCCAGCCATAACTCTACCAACTCTGTCATCATGTGACCAGAAGTCTAACCTGAATGACCAACGAAGTACTCTCGAGGACCATCCCAAGATAGACGTGAATTAATTTCTTTAGATCATTCCTGTGTTGTTTATCGTATTTTGCGCTTCATGCACAGACCTGTTCATTTGTTCAGTGAAAATGGAAAACGCACTGAGAATTTCTTATGATGCAGCTTTCATGTTAAAAGTATGATGGCCCTAAGAAGTAAATGAACAACATTTAAAAAACGGAATTACATTTGAAAAACCACAACAAAAATAATAAAATCACAACAACATTAGAAAAAAACAGAATTACATTTGAAAAAACAGAATCACATTAGAAAAAACAGAATTACATTAAGCCAAAGCAGAAGTGGCCGGAATCACATTAGAAAAAACAGAATTACATTAAGCCAAAGTGGAAGTGGCCGGAATCACATTAGAAAAAACAGAATGACATTTGAAAAAACAGATTTACATTAAGCAAAATAGGAAGTTTTTAAAAAAAACTTTATTAACAGCATAAAACCAAACAACAGAACAATATACAGTACATCCTGATGCATGCTCAATAATCCAGGTAGAAAAATCTACAAAAGTCAAGTCAGGTCCTCTGGAGGCCTCTGTGTTCAACTGTCCTCCTCTTACAATTGCTAGTATCACTCAGCCCCCTGTGGATAGCAAGCAGCCATCGGGGTGCTAACGATCCATTGTTAGGCTGATGGTCCTCCTTGATCATGTGAACAACTAGTTTTAAAAGTCAACAACAAACTGTTTGACCCACTATGAGAAGGTGCTATTTATAAGACTGAGCTGATTACAGCTCATCAGACTGAAGAAGCCTTTCGGATGAAAGATGAAACGTTTCTATGATTTTATTTATTTATTGTTGTTGTTTTTTGAACATCCAGAGGACCTGACAACATTTTTTAGAATATACAGTACACACATATCTCTGATGTGTGTGTACTGTATATTGTTCTGTTGTTCAGTTTTATGCTGTTAATAAAGTAAAAAAATAATAATAATAACGAAAAACTTCCTGATTGGCTTAATGTAATTCCATTTTTTTCAAATGTCATTCTGTTTTTTTCAAATGTGATTCTGTTTTTTTTAATGTGCTTTTGTTTTTTCAAATGTGATTCTGGCCACTTCCGCTTTGGCTTAATGTAATTCTGTTTTTTCTAATGTAATTCTGTTTTTTCAAATGTTGTGACTTTGTTGTTTTTGTTGTGTTTTTTCAAATGTAATTCCATTTGTTCAAATGTTGTTCATTTACAGGTCCTTCTCAAATAGTTAGCATATTGTGATAAAGGTCATTATTTTCCATAATTTAATGATAAAAATTAAACTTTCATATATTTCAGATTCATTGCACACCAACTGAAATATTTCAGGTCTTTAATTGTTTTAATACTGATGATTATGGCATACAGCTCATGAAAACCCAAAATCCCTGTCCCAAAAAATTAGCATATCGTGAAAAGGTTCTCTAAACAAGCTATTAACCTAACCATCTGAATCAACAACGTAACTCTAAACACCTGCAAAAGATTCCTGAGGCTTTTAAAAACTCCCAGCCTTGTTCATTACTCAAAACCGCAATCATGGGTAAGACTGCCGACCTGACTGCTGTCCAGAAGGCCATCATTGACACCCTCAAGCAAGAGGGTAAGACACAGAAAGAAATTGCTGAACGAATAGGCTGTTCCCAGAGTGCTGTATCAAGGCACCTCAGTGGGAAGTCTGTGGGAAGGGAAAAGTGTGGCAAAAAATGCTGCACAACGAGAAGAGGTGACCGGACCCTGAGGAGGATTGTGGAGAAGGGCCGATTCCAGACCTTGGGGGACCTGCGGAAGCAGTGGACAGAGTCTTGACGAGAAACATCCAGAGCCACCGTGCACAGGCGTGTGCAGGAAATGGGCTACAGGTGCCACATTCCCCAGGTCAAGCCACCTTTGAACCAGAAACAGCGGCAGAAGCGCCTGACCTGGGCTACAGAGAAGCAACACTGGACTGATGAGAAGGAAATGCCAAAATGCCAGAAGTCCAGTGTGAAGCACCCACAGTCAGTGATGGTCTGGGGTGCCATGTCAGCTGCTGGTGTTGGTCCACTGTGTTTTATCAAGGGCAGGGTCAATGCAGCTAGCTATCAGGAGATTTTGGAGCACTTCATGCTTCCATCTGTTGAAAAGCTTTATGGAGATGAAGATTTAATTTTTCCGCACGACCTGGCACCTGCTCACAGTGCCAAAACCACTGGTAAAGGGTATACTGACCATGGTATTACTGTGCTCAATTGGCCTGCCAACTCTCCTGACCTGAACCCCATAGAG